TGTCAATTTGTTGTCTTTAGCATCATAATCCCCCCAAATCGATTGAATTCAGTATCATATAGAATAGCCTGTAAATTGTCCTTTGAGAATTTAGAGATTTAGAAGTCATCTTTAGGTCTTTAATTCTTTTCAAATTGACAATTTAGTATTATAATAGATGAGGCCAGTTTCATTCTTTTGCATGTGATTATTCATTATTCCAAATACCATGAGTTTAAAAACCTGTCCTTTCCCCATTGAGTAGTCTGAGTACCATTTTCAGTTAGTGATTGGCCGCATGTATAAGAAATTATTGTAAACTTTCTCTTCTATTGGACCAGTTTATTCTTCTCTTCATATTCCAGTAGTGTAGTGGCTTATTTCTGTACATTGGTAATAAGTTTTAAAATCAGGAAATAATTTTTCAACTTAATTTTTTAATCATTTGGGTTTCTGAAGAATTCATATGAATTTTAGAATAAATTTTCCTATTCATGTAAAAATTCCAGTAGAACTTTGATAGCTATGTAATTGAATCTATGGGCCATTTGAGGATTATACATATTTTAGCTGTACTTCACTGTTACAAACCATGATTATATCATGTCATTTTTGATCTTCAATATTTTTGTATGTATTTTCAAGTTTCCATCTCAGATACGTTCAATTTTTTTGTTTAGGACTCTTTTTTCTTTTTAATAGTATGGAATTGTTTAGAATGCTTTCTTATTTCCTAATTTTGATTATTTTTACATCTGAAAATGTTATGGACTTTGAGTTTAGATTTTGCTCTCTGAAATTTTGTTGAAGTAATTTATTCTAACCTCTTCTTGTGAAGAGGTTCTGGGATTCTATATATAAAGTCATGGCAAGTGGAAATACATAATTCCATTTCATTTTGTTTTCAATTTGAATCTAATGTAGTCCTTTTCTTGCCTAATTGTTTTGGATAATGCTTCCAATGTTATTTTTAATATGGAAACTTGTCAATATGCATATTTATTTATCAGCTTAAAAATAAATTGAAAGTAGAAGAGCAGTTTTTTCCCTTGAGAGAATTTATTTTTTATTTTAAATATTTTTATTTTAGAAGCAATCTTATTTACATATCACTCCCCCCATTCCCTCGCCCTCCCACCATCCCATGATCCCCACCGACCCCCAACCAATGTTATTTTTAACATCAGTGACAAAGATTGGTATACTTCCTTGGTCCTGATAATAGAAAGCTTTCAGTCTTTCTACCAGTGGGCTTTTCATATGTACCTTTTCTGTATTGAGGGAATTGTCTTGTATTCTTGTTTAACTGAGTAATAACATCATGAAAAAATATTGACTTTTGTCTGCAATAAATAAAATGACCACTTGTTATTTTTCTCTCTTGTTTAATGAGTTGCATTATATAGACCCATTTGAATTCCAGATTTAAATCACATTTGATAGTGGTATATTCCCCCTTTTAATGTACTATTGAATTTAGTGTGTTAGTGTTTTGTAGACATTGTTGACATTATTATGAACGATGGTAAAATATACAGGCAAGTTATTGTTTTGCTCTTTGCTTTCTACTTTTTATATATACTCCTTGTTTCATTTTTCCTTTTATTTGCCTTTTATGGATTGAGCAGAAAGGAATATCAGCTGTAGAACTCTATGTCATTATTTCACATTTTAGAAAGTTTATTTTATAAGACTTGAGTTTTCAATATTTTGACCACAACTTCTTTTTTTATCCCCTTCTTTACCTTACATTAAGGAGTCTGGTACCATATATAAAAGGTTGTTGGAAGGCTTCACTGCATATTTTTATCCTTTTGTTTTCATTTTCCCCTTTTATTGAAAATAGATTCTTTTTACATACAATATATCCTGATTACAGTTTCCCCTCCCTCTACTCTTCCCAGTTCCTCTCCACCGCCTCTCCTCTCCAGACCTTCACTAAAAAAGGACAGGCTTCTAAGAGATAACAACCAAAGATGACAAAACAATATAAAGCAAAAAACATCACATCTGGGCTGGACTAGACAGCCTAACAGAAGAGTCCCAAGAGCAAGCACAAGAATCAGAGACCCACTTCTTCACACACTCAGGAGTCCCATTAAAAAAGAGCTGAAAGTATGATAATATATACAGATGATCTGATGTATACCTGTGTAGGCCCTGTGCATACTGCTTTTGTCTTTGTGAGTTCATATGATCCTTGCTCTGTTGATTCAGATGGCCTCAGTCTCCTGGAGCCCTCCATCTCTTACACTCTTTCTGCCTCCTCTCCCTCAGGGTTCCCTGAGCTCTGATGGGAGGGATTTGATGGAGACATCCCATTTAGATCTGTGTGTTCTAAAGACACTCTGCATAATGTCTGGCTGTGGATCTCTCTATTTGTTCTCATTTGCTACAGGAGGAACCTTCTCTGATAATGTCTGAACAAGGCACTGATCCTATTTGTCTTTCTGGGTCTGGTATTTGGGATTATTTTTCTAGTTCTATTTACCTACAAATTTTATGATGTCATTTTGTTTAACAGCTGAATAGTATTTCATTGTGGAAATGCGTATTTTCTTTATCCCCTTCTGTTGAGGGACATCTAATTTGTTTCCAGTTTCTGGCTATTATGAATAGAACAACAATGAACATGGTTGAGCAAGTATCCTTGAGGTAGGATGGAAATCCTTTAGGTATATGCCCAGGAGTTGTATAACTAGATCTTGAGATAGATTGATTGCCATCTTTCTGAGGAACCACCACACTAATTTGCATAGTAGCTGTACAAGTTTGCCTTCCCACCAGCAATGGAGGAGTGTTCACTTTATTCCACATTCTTGCCATCACGAGCTGTCACTTGTATTATTGATCTTAGGCATTCTGACAGGTGTAAGATAGAATCTCAAAGTAATTTTGATTTCAAAGTCCATTTTCTGGTTCACTTTGAAAAGTTTATTTTGCTACATTTACAAGTTTACTAGTTTTTTCTTTAGTAGACCCTAATATTTCATTAACCCAAAATATTATATTTTTAAAATTTCAGACGTTATTTTCTTTTTTGAAATATACAGAAATGTATTGAAAATACATTATTTATAATTCCCTCAGCCAATGAAAGCCATAATTAACACTACATTTTCTCTAGATCCCTTCTAAGGCATTTTATTATATTGCACTTTTGTCATAAAATAGTAAAAACCTACACCCCACTCAGGGAGCTCTCATAGGGTTCCCTTCTGTGCACCCGAAAGCACCCTCACCTCATCAGATTTCTAGGGCTTCTCTCTTCCTCATCTCTAGCTACAATGGTCCTAAGTTATTGAAAGACAAATCAGATGGCAACCAGACTCAGCACTAACAGATGCCACTCTTACTGAGTGTCCCCAGAGCAAAGTACTAGCTTGGAATCCAGCAGAGCTGTTTTTGTCTTGTGAGCTTTTTCTTCTTTCTTCTTTTTCTTTTTTCCCCCATTTTGAAGCAAGATCTCACTAGGTAATCTAGACTAGCCTTAAGATCCCTAATTCTCCTGTTTCCTGAACACTGAGATTCAGGCATGCACAACCATGCCTTACCTCAGCAGCCATTACTCTGTGAAGACTCTATGGAAAATTGGTCAGACATTAATTTCCTTAAGTCTGATCTGAGTTTTAAAATTATTTGCACACCTTTGCTTAAGTTTATTAACTTATAGAATATACGTACAGTGCCTATTAGTATTATTTGGCAAATCAAACACGTGTCTCTCAAGTCTGGATCTATTTATAACAACTGATTTTCATCCTTATTATTAGAATTTATTTCTGTATTTTCAGAGCTATTTCTTTAGATTCCAAACATTATTTATCCCAGTTGATTACTGGATATTTTGAGGTATGATAAATATTATTCACTGTGGTTTAAGACATAGTTAAGTTAATTGAAAATATATTTCATCCATTCAATCTAGTTTTATTTTTACTCACACATAACTAGGACATTGACCAATCAAAAGAATTCAGGCAAATTTCAGGAAGCCACATGGCATGTTAGTAAAGGATAAAAAATGATATTTTCCCTTATCAGTACTTGCAAGATATCTAGGCTTTAGTAACTTTAGAATGTAGTAGAGAGGCAAACTAAAGATGACTGAAAGATGTTATTTTTTTTAGTACCAGTTTCTGTTAAATGTCTCTTTAACACACCATTTTTTAACTTAATCATTTACTGTCTAGTCTTTTGCTACACTGTTTATAGTATAATCTGGGATGGTTGAAATTATGACGAGAATGCTAAATATTGACAGAAGTCTAAATCAAGTGGAAATTTCATTATCTCCTCTTAGAAGGTTGAAATACTGCAATAACAGTGGAAGCAATTTCATTAATTTCTTCAAAAATATTCTCTTACCATATGCCTAGCCTTTCCCCCTTAAGCACGTACCTCCAGAAAATTGTCAACATATGTTCACATAGACATTTGTACAACTATTTATAACAGCAGTGCTTGCAATAATCAGAAACTGGAACAAACTGGAAAAAATCCAAATGTCTCTCAATAAATTTAAACAAGCAACATTTGGTATATCCATGTGACATGCTAACTACCACTCACAAAATTAAAATAAATATGTCACCACTACATGAATGAATAAAAGTTATACTAAGAGAAAGTATCAGCATGCAAAACCATGTACTGTATGAGCCTATGCATTTTCTGCAGTTCTGCCAGATCAGTGCTTGCTAAGGTCCCAGGAAGAAGAGGATACATTGCAAAGAAATGACGTTTATCTGGATTATGACTGCTAGTTCCATGAGTATATACATCTTAAAGAACTAATCAAACATATCTTAATGAATTTAATTTACTCTGTAAATTATATAAATTTGATTGATACTAACATAGTGATTACTAAATGAGAAATAGAGATTAGAGAGATTATCTTTATTTCTTTATTGTCTAGTATGGAGCTCAGTAAATTTTTTGTTTTGTATATCATTGTATTACCTTTTTTGGTATGATTCTTGTGTCTGTTTTCATTTAGATTGATACCTTCTTTTGTGTTTTTTTTCTCATTAAACTTGTATTTTAATGGGTCTCAAAATTCTGTGACAGATTTTTGGTCAAGTTGTTTCCATTAAAAAGTACTGATTTTGAAAACTAATAACTTAAAACTGCCACACACACAAAAATGGTCCACAAAACATTCTCCTTTCCCCCTGAAGGTTTTTCCGATGCATTGTTATCATTAACCAGTCTTTCACTATTAAACTTAAATGGCCAATTGAGACAAACAGTTCTGAGACCGTTCTTCCACCACTGATTAAGACTGGGATGGCAGGTGTCAGGGGTAATATTCATTTAGCCTTCTGAGCTTTCTGGGCCGACTTGGTGACTTTGCCCGCTCCAGCAGCCTTCTTGTCCACAGCTTTGATGACACCCACAGCAACTGTCTGCCTCATGTCGTGAACAGCAAAACGACCCAGTGGAGGATAGTCAGAGAAACTCTCAACACACATGGGCTTGCCAGAAAGCATATCAACGATGGCTGCATCACCAGATTTCAAAAATTTAGGGCCATTTTCCAGCTTCTTACCAGAACGGCAATCAATCTTCTCCTTAAGCTCAGCAAACTTGCATGATATGTGAGCTGTGTGACAATCCAGTACAGGAGCATAGCCAGCACTAATTTGGCCTGGATGGTTCAGGAAGAATATCTTTAGAGTGGAGCATTGTTTTGTTTTGTTTAAAACAATCTTTTTAAAATTTTACATACCAATCCCAGTTCCCCCTCCCTCCCTTCTTCTCACTCTCCTCACCTTCTCCCCCATCTCACCCCCATCCACTCCTAAGACAGGGTGAGGCCTCTCACTGGAGTCAACAAAGTCTGTCACATTCCACTGAGGCAGTGCCAAGGCCCTCCTCCTATATCTAGGATGAACAAGGTATCCCTCCATAAGGAATGGGCTCCAAAACGCCAGCTCATGCACTAGAGATAAATACTGGTCCCACTACCAGTGGTCCCATAAACTGCCCAATCCTGCCAACTGATACCCACATTCAGAGGGCCTGGTTTGGTCCTATGCAGGTTTCCCAGCTGTCAGTCTGGAGTCTGTGTGCTCCCACTTGATTGGATCAGCTGTTTCTGTGGGTTTTTCCAGCCTGGTCTTGTCCCCTTTGCTCATCACTCCTCCTTCTCTGCAAGTGGATTCCAGGAGTTCAGCTCAGTGCTTAGCTGTGAATCTCTGCTTCTGCTTCCATCAGTTACTAGATGAAGGTTCTATGATGACAATTAAGGTAGTCACCAATCTGATTACAGGAGTTGTGTAAATGTAAAATGTTAGAGTGTATGATATGTAGACTTGCTTTAGAGGATGTCATGAAATTATTAATATCTTAAAGTCAGGTGAATAAATGAGGAGCAACAATAAATGTAGATACACAAATAAAAAGAGTAGTACTGTTGTAATTTTGGTTGGTAATTCCTTTAGAGCCCCACATTACTAAAAAGACAAATGTATAAAACAGTAATTGTAAATCTGTGTTTTGGGCCATACAAAAATATAAATATCATGGCATGTGCATTCTACCAATACATTTGTATTAAGTCAAATTTGATTGTTATAAATTAAAATAATTATAATCTCCAGGATAATCAACAAGGAAAAGAACTTTAAAATCACAGGAAAAAATCAAGGAAGTTTGAAAATATGAAACTAGAATAAAATCAGGTATAAATGATGATTATTAATTTATAATATAAAAACATGATAAAAACATAGGGACTCAAATATATGGAAATGAAACAACACATTGATAAGTAAACAAACAAACAAACAAACAAAAACCAGTCAGAGCAGTCTGGTGACCCCTGTCAGAGCAGCCACAGACACTTACATCAGCAGTGCATGGTAAGAAGCATGACAATTTTGGCTGGATTTAAACTTGTCTTTCTTTAACTAGCTGTGTGATTTCCAAGTACATATTTATGATTGCCTTGCCTGTAAAATTTTGTTTATTGAGACAATGTTTATTGGCAACAGATGTTCAATATAAAGTTGCTAAATTAGTGAATTAACTTAGTTAAAATAATATTTGTGAAGAACTGGCACACAGCAAGTGCCTAATAAGTATTTAAAGCATTGTGAATTTTGAAGAAATCTTCAATATATAATCTCTGTGTGATTTGGTTTGGCTTTTGCTTAATATAGCAAATGATTCTTTTTATCTAATTATTAGAGTTATACATGTTTGCTGTAGAAAATAGCAAATTACTTATATTTATAGAATGAGAAATATATTTGAATAATGGTAGCATAATTATTAAGGATTTCAGATTTTTCTCAGAATGATAAAACAATACCAAGAGAGAAATAAGTCACTCTATCAGCAAGACTGGAGCGGGAGGTGAACATCAAAGAAGAAAATACAGGAAAATAATGAAATACCTTAAAAGGTATGAAAATGAAAACTAAGGTTAAATAAAATCAATGATCAGAAAGAAATTTAATGCTGCTGGGTCTTTTAATTTGAAAAATTCTATTCAAATTAAAGTACCTGACTTTGTTTTAAAGAAAAAATGTTTTAAAAATAAGTACTTCCAAGGAGGATCATCCACAAATTTTCACGTTATTTAGAGAAGTATGAAAACTGGAAGACAGAGGGCTTCTATGTTCCTATATAAGCAAAATTTTTGCAGAAAATCTAGCAATTGGCAGAAAAATACAACTTTCAATTATATGGCATTTTAGGGATAATTATGATTGATGGCATTTTATCAAGATCATTGAGTTATAGCATCTTTTTCAGAAATACATTTAAGATTTTTCTGTTTAGAGATTACTATTTATAGATGATATGGTATATTGGTACACAAATCTATGTTTAATTTTGTCTGTTGAGAATGAATGATGACATTTCTAAATAAAGTAGAATGGACTTATTATTTAGAAGTATGCTCCCTAGGTGCTCAATGTGTAACATATTTATTTCTTTGAGAAGTGTATGGTTTAGGGTATTTGGCATTTATCTTTCCTAAAGGATACAATCAGGAGCACACAATGCAACTCAATAAGGTAAGTTCAAATATTAAGGAACTTTAAGTCTTTAAATGGAAATGTAAAAGAAAAAGAAAGACCCCCCTATGGAAGAGCCTCACTCTCCCTGGAGAGCAGAAATGGTATGGGGTAGGTAGGGTGTTAGTGGGGAGCAGGAGAGGAGGGGAGGCAGAGGGAACTAGGGTTGACATGTAAAACAATCTTGTTTCTAATTTAAATAAAAATGGAGGAAAAAAACAAAAAAAATGAAGAAAAAAGTAAATCTTAGAACAAAATCATGAAAGTGAAAACAAAATGGAAAAGGGAATTAATGAATCTAAAATATAGATTTAAAAGAAAAACAAAGTTGACAAAACTTGGAGTGGCAATGAAAAAACTAGAATACATATCCACTATGAAATGAAAGTGAAACAATACAAGTCAGTCTTACTTATATAAACATGATTCTAGTAGACTATAATAAGTTGGGAAACTGGTAACCTAGATGACATACACAATTTCCTAGAACCCAAAATGTACCACAACTACCTGAAGAAAAATAAACAAACTAGAACATAACTATGACAAATAAAATACTAATTGCATAGGCATAAGTCCCAACATTTACCAAGACTGTGTGGCTCCATGAATTCCACTAAACATTTAAAGAAGAACATAGTTCAGTGATGTATCCCTATAATCGTAGCACTCGAGACAAAGAGGCCGGAGGGCCATACATTCTAGGCCAACCTACACTACTTAGCAAGTTCCAATCCAGATTGTGTTAAATATGCAGATACTATATAAAAGAAATAAAAGGGTGCAGTCATGCTTTGCCTGCTCTTTAAACAATAGATGGAAACACTTTAACTTATTTTATAAAACCAGAATTGCCATGGTAACAAAGCAATACACTGAAATCACAAAAAAGAGAAGTCTACTCCATTTGAAAATACATAAAATTATTTGATAAAATAGCAGTACATTTAATTCATTGGTATGTGTTTAGATAAAGTCATACTTAACAAAATACAATATTTATCTCTAAACATTTGAGTGGATCAAATGAAAATTAATATTCCACTTCAGAATATAAATAAATCTTACAAAAAGTACTCAACTATAAATGGGAAAAAACTTAATTATATGTTGGCCTCAATAGAGACTATGTACATGATAAGCAGACAGCTGAAAAGATAGCCCACATCACTGGTCAGTAGGGAAATGCAAAGTTAACACACTTAACTTTCACTACATAACTATAATAATTTAGAAAACCATAAAATTGTGTACTAGTGAAGATGTGGGGAAATTGGTAACATGTAGTTCTTAGTGGAAATATAAAATGGTGTACATCTTTTAAAAAGCAGTTTCGCATTTGCTTATACAGTTTAAATATGAAGTTATCATAAGCCATAGAAATTCATTTTCTACATGTAGAATCTTTTAGAAATAATTAAAAACAAATATTCAAACAGATGTAAAGCATAAAAGATTTGTTGTAGCAATACTATTTAAAATGCCCACCCAACTGTCTATCCTTTGATGAGCAGTTAAATACAATGCACTATATCCATCCAAAAGAATATTACTCACAAAAAAGAAATTTGGTGGTGATACATACTGCCATGTAAATGAATATTAGATGCATTATACTAATTGAAAAAGCCATATACAAAAAGGTCACATATTATTTTTCTCGATTTAGTATGAAATATCCATGAAAAGGAAGTTCATACAAATCAAAAGCAAATTAATGATTGAGAATCATTAGGGCAAAAGGAGAAACTGGAAGTCTAGTTGATATGTTCAGGTTTCCTTTTGGATTTAAGAAAATATTTAATTTTATATGTAAATGACCTTTTGATAACAATGTGAATTATTAAATGCCGCCAAACTGCATACATTGAAATAGTTAATTTTATGCTACATTATATAAAACAATGTTTTTGTTTGTTTATAAATCAAAAATTTTAATTTGTATATGTTTATAATTGACAGCATGCTGACTTAATATGTGTATATATTATGAGAGGCTAAATCAATCTAGTTAATTTACTACCTACTGTATTTTGTCTTTTTGTGATAAGAATGCTGCAAATCTGATCTCTTGGCAATTTTGAAGTATACAATACATTGTTATTAACATAACTCATACAACAGACATCTTGAGTTATTCCTTTCTGACATTTTTATCCTATTGTCACATCTCCTAGTCTTGTCTTTATGTTTATTTTGTAATAAAGGCCTTCAATAGTCCACCACTGAGTATTAGCTGTTGTGGTCTTTCGCTATATGATCACTGTTGTGTTAGGGTACACCCTATCTATATCTAAGTTATTAAAAACAATTATTAGTGAAATAATATTAAAGTTTGTTAAGTGTTTTCTCTACATCTATTGAGATTTATATCCTAATGAGATTTTTCACACAACTATAAAAATCCTAAATTTACCATGAAACTATAAAATAGCACAGCAATAAAAAAATACAAAATAGAGCAAAACAAAAATCTTTGTGCTATCTGTGAATTCCATTCTATCATAATATATCATATCATAATTTAACACCAATAGATAAACGAATATTGTAGTTTGTGTTGCCTAGTCATCTCAAGAGGACTTAAATTCTTTATGTGGCTTTGATTTAACTCATCTCACATTGCTTATTTTGTTCTCTGTACAGAGTAAATATTTTAGGGGTTTTGTTTGTTGTAATAATATTTTCATTAATTCTTGGAGAAATTTTATGCAATTGGTTTTGATCATTTTTATACACATCTTCCTCAACTCCTT